ATAATCGGGACGCCAACGAGAAGTCTGTCCTCCAATTGAACGTAAGTAAGAACTCATCAAAATGATGTGTGATTTATCTTGTTATACAAAGCTATGGTGGAGTATAGCAAGTGTTTATCAGGCGTATAACTTAACAGAAAAAGCATTCAGACATAGAAGTCTTTCTCGAATTTTTGCTTCCCATTGTACTTATGCCCTCTAGGAAAAGATCGCTGGTCCAATTGCGGCTCTATGCTTTTTCTTTGTTCTGAAAAACCAGAAGAGTCGTCATTACGGACATGAATTCTTCGATGATTGTTTTTCCGAACCGATGTTCATCAGAGTTGTAATTCCTTTAGGGTTCTTTAATCCTCTTAATGTAGCTGAGTTAAAAATTGATTACGTTTTTTCTTTAAAAAAAATGTGTTAAATGCATAGCATAAAACGAAAAAAAACAACAAATGAAGAGACCACCACCCCTCCGCCCTCCGCCCTCCGCCCTCCGCCCTCCGCCCTCCGCCCTCCGCCCTCCGCCCTCCGCCCTCCTTATATCATTACTGTCATCAGCGGCGCTCCTTGATGTTAGTTTGAGACTATTAAAGGCTATTGGAAAAACAAATTTCGTCATGGGTGTAGATTCACTCTTCGTAGTGATCTACAGTCGGAGTTAAAGCAGTTGAATTTTCAGAATATCATGTTTTCCAGAAATTTCCATGATTCTGAAATTCACAGTTAAAACTGAAAGATGACACGGAATGATTTATGCCATTGTACTTCACCAGAAAAAAATACGTTTTTCACGATATAACCTATTTAGCTGGTAGGAACAAAAAATTATTAAACACTTATTTCATCCTGTTAATAACAAAAAGTTTCGATGACTATCAGTGTCACCTTCACAGGCCTGGTGAGTTCCGTTTAAAAACCTGCGAACCATAAATGGACAGTCCATGAAGGTCCGACATAACAGATAATTACAATGAATATCAATCGAACTTTTCTTTTCTTAAGAAAAAAACATGGTTCATAATTTTTTTCTGTTTAAAATGGACACACGAAAACTCGCATATATCAAACTTTCCAACAAAAATTGAGAAACGTTTACAGGTTAAGTGAAAGGATTTCTTGTGCAGCATTTTGCGAAAGATAGAAAGCTCTCTTTGGGTTAGACAGTAATTTATTGTACTTTTTCTGTTCTACTTTTTATGCTATTCCCTCAGTTATATTTCTACCGGAATTGAGAATTTTCAAAGAAAAGCACAAGAAATAGTTTCCGCTTTTATTCTCTAAGCGAGGAAAAGATGAACTTTTCACCCCCGGAATCTACTCTATTTAAAAAAGTAGATGTAAGTTGCTTCACAAAACCGGACATTTATTTTCCGGAAAGAAAGGCCAGTGTCTGTTCATGGCTCTCTTTTTTCAATTTTGACCCTTGTAATCAACAACAAGGCAATTCGTATGTGAGCTCCTTCGAAATGACGTTTGGCTTCCCTTCTTCCTCGATTCCTAAAACGCATCTAACCGTTGCACAAGGTCTCTAGATAAGAGATAACAATATATAATCAAGTTCAAAGTATTTGTATTTGAAACGATTTTTTAGTTTCAATCTCGCTTCTGAGCCTCATCTCATTTCGATTTCCTTCCTTCCATAACAGACAAAAACATTACATTCAGATTCGCTATGGTAACAGACGAGGCCAAAGTGATTTTGACCGTGATCTACGTGGTAACAATGGTCGTTGCCTTTGCTGGTAACACGCTTCTGATCTACTTCGTGTGGAAGAAACCGGAAGTGCGATCAATGACCAGCTCCATGTTCGTCAACATGGCGGTGGCTGATTTGTTAATTACGCTAGTTGTAATGCCTTTCTCCGTTATTCACCTACACAATGGCGGCAAATGGCTTATAGTTCATGATCTGGCTGGAGAAATAACATGCAGAGGCTTTTACTTTGTTGCAATGGTCACTGCGGCTTCTTCGATACTGTGCCTGGCGTTTATGGCTTACGACAGATACACGGCGATTCTTCACCCTTTCTGCCCCCTTCAATGTATTCGTAAGGCAAAGTACGCTGCACCTATCATCTGGATTCTCTCAATGCTATTAATGTCTATAATTCTTATTATTTCGGATTTTGATCCGTTGGAGGACTTTTGCGGTTTCAACTTTGACATCTTGGGAAAAGAAAGCACCACAGTTCGTGGCGGAATTTTCGTTTACTTGTTTGTAGTCCAATATTTTTTGCCACTAAGTGTCACATCAATCCTGTACGCTAAAACCGCTCACAAATTGTGGTTTCGTCAAGTCCCTGGGAATTATTTGTCACAAAATCAGAGGCAACAGGAAATCGCCAAGAGAAAAGTGGTCGGAATGCTTGTCATCGTTGTCGCTGTATTTGCTGTGTGTTGGCTACCCACGCAATTCTTTCAGCTGTATCAGGTGATCAAAGAAACGCAGCCATTGCCTCCCTTTGCTATGTACCTCTGCTACTGGTTGGGTCATGGCAACAGCGCCATAAACCCATGGTTGTACATCTCCTTGAGCTCAAGGCTCCGCCTGGCGTTTATCGGAATGGTAAAAAAGAAATTCAGTCGTCCAGCCGGAAGAGTGCGTTTGAAGAAGACAGCGGCGACAACTAATCTCCTAACACACGGAACACAGGTGGAGTCTTCTGTATAACATGGAAAAATTGAAATTAAACTCACTACTGCAAATATAAATCTGATAAAAAAGGTATACGAAACTCAGAAAACTTTGGGTGATTAATTTGATAGCTTTAAACCATTCATTGCCTTGTCTTCATTTATCACCCTATTGCAAGTGGCGTACCCATTTCTTAATGATGATCAGTGATAAAAATGTCTTAACGTATCAGCTAACGGATATCATCTCTGGTAATAAAATACAATGTTTACTAACTAACGAGGAAAATGCTCAGCAGCCAGCAGGGAGTTCTGCAAATTTATATACAGAATTGAAGTCTTCAACACGCAGCCATTAGAGTCAACAATTTTCTCCATTTGCATGGCATAATTATTTTTTGCAGTAAGGGTACACACCATTTAACTGTTTCAAACTCATCGGAGAAACTTAGCGTAAATAAATTGAGATTAAAGTGTAAACTGAAGTAGGGAACGATCTCACGTGATATTAAGGTCAAGTGAATGTGAATAAAAATGTGGGAAGTAATATCTCTTATTCTCACTTTGAAGGAATTTTGTTTTTGAGGTCACAACCTTACGGGATGATAAGTTGAGGATTTCCGAGTAACTGCACATTGCAACATCATCCAGTGTGGTAAAAAGTAACTTTCACCTCAAACATGAGAGTAGTTTGGTTTTGTAGTCTCGTTTGGGATGGGCTTGTACATACAAATCGCAAATAATTTCTAGGTTTGATGTTAGCTCATGACAATAAACACCTTCCCACAAAAGGTTAAGTTAAACACTCCGTTCCTTTCATCAGTTCCCAACTGCGAACTCTCTGGGTAAAGTGGCAGGGGAATCTCCAAGTTGCCCGTCTGGACTTTGAAATAATAACGTAACCTCAGAATTGTGATGATAGGTTTTTCGCACTAACTGGACTTTTGCGGGGAACGCAACAACAACGGGGGAAAATAGCTCGGTAGAGACCACTTGCAGCGGGAACGGAAACTCGGGACGGTTTCCTGGTACACAGAGACCTGCTTCAAGCGAACTTGCTTCGGACATCAAGGATTAGAGGGCGTTAGGTTCCACAGTAACTTTATTTTAGTTCATATCGACAACCGACATGACCTCTGGCGTAATCAACTTCGTTATCGCCACACAATCGCAACGGTTATCGCCACGCAGTCGTCTAAGTAATCAAAAAAGCTTTACCAGGTACTTCCTGTGGCACTATCAAGCGCGTGGTTCTATTGTTCTCTCAATTTACAATATTTGAATAATATCACAAAAGAAGAAGAAAATGTGTCTTTGAAGTTATCGATTCTAACAAAGAGAACGGAGATTGAACTTACTCACGGCTTCAAAATTAAAAATATATATCTTAGCGAGTGAAAATGAGAAGTGAATTTAAATCTCTGCTTATCTATGCGATGTTGGTGTTAAGTTTGAACAAGCGGCAACAGAAAAATTATCGAATGAAAGGAACTAATTTACGGACGTAGAAGTTCAGCTGGCAACTTCTCTGAGAAGTTATTTACCAGAAAAGGTCGTTACAAGGAATGTTTATTTAACAATGTCCACTAAGGATATGATCATTAAAGGCGACCGATGTTTAGGTACACAAAAGCGGCAAAAACAATGCGATATGTAGATGTTGGTAGTTGAGAGAACCAACTGTTGGCTTTTATCTTTTTTAAAACATTGCATTTAAAGAAACTCGGATAAGTTGAGAACGGGTAAAATATTGAAAAAGTTATGAATATCCTCCAAACTAACACACGGAAAAATCACTTGATTTTCCCGTAACACCATTTGAGGCAGCAGAAGTTTCCATATGGCACGTTCACCCAAAGTGTGAGCGAAAGATATAATCCAATGTTCAACAATCATTGTCAATATGTGTTTTGGCGTTCTACTTAACAAAATATTCATTTAGTTTGGGTTTCCTTATTTCTTGTTCATACCAGGAAAGCGTTATCCATCTAAAATGGAAATTTTAGGGAAATATCATGCTTCAATTTTTTTATAAGGAGGAGACCTTTTATCTTTGTATTATGTGATCAGCACCTGTCATGTTCTGCTTGCAGTTATTTCTTGTTTACGCTAGGAAAGTGATATCTATCTAAATTTCAAATTTTAGGGTATGTTTTACTTTAATTTTTTTTCAGGAAGGGACGTGTCATTATTCTATCTTTGTGATGAACACCTGTCATATTCTGCTTGCAATCATTTACAACCCTGAATCAGGTGCAGTCTCCAGAATCACGTTTGAATGTAGACTGGTGATGACTTCCTAAATGAAACTTGTAAAATAACCATCGAAGGCTATCTTAGGTTAAAAATGTGAAATATGTCTACGGGTCAGCTGGGAACATAAAGAAGCTGAAATTATTGCCGAATCTGCACCTCTTTCGGTGGATAACTGACTGACGACAGAAAAAGAAACACTCAGTTCCCTTTCTCAGTTCCCAACTGCGAACTCTCTGGGTAAAGTGGCAGGGGAATCTCCAACCTGTAAGTCTGGACTTTGAGATAATAACGTAACGTCAGAAGACTAGCGTTCTTCTAGTTTACTGTTATGTTTAGATCTAGATTTGATGCGCCATAAAGTACTGCATCATTACCTAAAAATAACGATTTGGTCATGGTCTCCATTTAGGGCAGCAGGAGTTACCTTATGTCAGACACGTTCACCCAGACTGTAGGCGAAAGATATAATTCAATAATCAACACTCATTGTCAGTAAGTGTTTTGGCGTTCGACTTAACAAAATATTCATTTAGTTTGGGTTTCCTTATTTCTTGTTCATACCAGGAAAGCGTTATCCATCTAAAATGGAAATTTTAGGGAAATGTCATGCTTCAATTTTTTTATAAGGAAGAGACCTTTTATCTTTGTGTTTTGTGATCAGCACCTGTCATGTTCTGCTTGCATTTAAATACTACCCTGAATCAGGTGTAGTGTTCAAAATCACACTTTAATTCTAATCTGGGAATGTCTTTCTTAATGGAACTTGTAAAATAACCATCGAAGGCTATCTTAACGAAATTTTCGAAAAATGGTTCTCTGCATTTGGGATTTATTTGACAAGGAATTGGGAATGTAAGATCTGCGACTGGAAATATTAAATATGAATGAGGAAAGAAGGTATGGGAGTTTCGTCAGTTGGGTTCGAAAAGACAGATTGGAAAAGCTACATAAGACACCCACTGTAACCCGCTGTGACAACAAATTAGCCATGTAAACATATTTTCCAAAACTCTGATCACAAAAAAGTCTTAACGAAAACCGTATTACCACGCAATACATACGAAATAAAAAATGATAATAATTTGAACATTTTTCAGCTATTTTGAAAACTGATAAGTCTTCAGAAAATGCCAATACTGATAAATATTTAGAAAATATCTATAGTGATGGCGAAGGTATTCTGCACGCAAAAATAGCAGCATAGAAAAAAGTAAACATATTTTCAGTAATTTGTATAACAAAACGAGGGTACGGTATGCTACCACGCAATCATAACAATATAGGAAGAAAGATTAAAAAATGAAATTACCAAGATTGACGTAATTTGAAGTTGAAACTGTAAAAATTTGAAAGAAAGATGTCATCAAGGTGTTTTGGTTGAATTTTACACAGCGATCACCATGCTTGAATCCTCACGCGTCGTGGATTCACTGGACGGCCTCTCTCTTTGAAGTAAGAAACATTTAAAAGTGCAAGCGAAATTAAAAACAGGTTTGTGCAAACATTATGGGTGGAAGACATATTTGATATTCGTAATTTTCACCTATTTATTTAGGATCGTATGTGTGTGATAATTATAACTATCCTGTCAATATTGCCTCATCAGCGCATCGAAAGTGTCTTGAATCAGGAGATTGTTTAAGGCAGAAGATATTTTAATCTAGAAATATTTACTTTACTTTCTCAAGATATTACTTTTGGTCATTTTTCATCACTTGCCGTTAGATGACAAACCAGGTTTTAAGAGAAGAGGAGGACAGGATTGGTTTCGTTCTGTATACAGTCGACTTTTCACTCTTTTAATTACGCTTGAAAAAAAACAAACGGAAAAAACCTGAAGAACTAAGGTTCGAGTCCTCACCTGGTTGTAATATTATAATATTTCCTTTACTCCGCCTTCGTGAAAATGGCTTAAATCTTTTTCCAAATGGCAGAAACGTTTTTGACTAATTTATGCGTCCAATGCAGATGTTATCAGACGTTATAATTTGTATATCTTGGGAAAAGAGGTAAGAAATTTGTTGATGGCCAGTGCCGACAACAGCAATTCGTAATTTCAAGTTTTCCACATCTTCGTGGATGAGACGAAAGTGGTAAGAACTGAAACGTGCCACACAAAGCACAGCCCAGTGTGACATATGAGTTATTACTGAAGAGACCCACGGCAACAATTATTTGTTTAAATATTTATAATCGGGACGCCAACGAGAAGTCTGTCCTCCAATTGAACGTAAGTAAGAACTCATAAAAATGATGTGTGATTTATCTTGTTATACAAAGCTATGGTGGAGTATAGCAAGTGTTTATCAGGCGTATAACTTAACAGAAAAAGCATTCAGACATAGAAGTCTTTCTCGAATTTTTGCTTCCCATTGTACTTATGCCCTCTAGGAAAAGATCGCTGGTCGAATTGCGGCTCTATGCTTTTTCTTTGTTCTGAAAAACCAGAAGAGTCGTCATTACGGACATGAATTCTTCGATGATTGTTTTTCCGAACCGATGTTCATCAGAGTTGTAATTCCTTTAGGGTTCTTTAATCCTCTTAATGTAGCTGAGTTAAAAATTGATTACGTAGGTATCGACGCTCTTTGATCGTCGCTTGATTTAATTTTCTTTCGCACGGTTCAACCGTATCAGTTGCTCTATAGACCTAAGACAGTGCACATTAATTGACTATTCCTCGTTCTTTCATCCATTGCTAAGCCAACCGTTATTCCTCGTTCTTTCATCTTCTGCCGAGTCAAAGGAGCCACTAGTAAAACTACCAAAGACTTGTCGCGTATGTTCATTATTCCTCGTTATTTCATCCACTGCCGAGCCAAACGAGCCTGTTGATACAGTCGACTCCCCGTTATTGCGGACAACTTCGGGAGGAAATTTTGGGTCAGTAGTGGTGAGAGTCCGTAAGATTGGCCCTGTATTGTATAGATGCTCCCATTTACTTAAGCGGCGCTGGTAGATTATGTGGTTTGATGATAGCGTAAGTGACAGCTTTGAACCAGTGTGTTCGTCATCGAACCATCCTTTCTACTTCTCAAACCAAGGAGCACACCAGTCAAACCAGTTCGTTTTTTTAACTGATCGAAGAAAGACTCCACTCAGCTCACTTGCTATTGTCAAAAATTAAGCTTTGCCTAAGAGTGGACGTGATTGTTTGTGTTTGGTCAAAGCTAGAACAAAAGTCTGGAGTTCAATTCACTAGGATCCGTCTCTTTTACCAGTTACTTGGTTCTGTATTTCATTTGTCATATTACGACTTCCGTTAATCCACTTGATAGTAGATACCATTGACGATAAGGTTGCAAATTGATGCCAATGTTGTTTTCAGCTTTCGGCTTATTTATGATTGAAGCTGTTTACAAAGTCGCGTAGAGGCGTAAAAGCTAACCCCAACAGAGAAGCTCGATGACAATGCAAGTAAACATGATGTTCAAGAAACGAAGTATAAGATCGGTCGAAGACATTTAAAAAATTTTAAAAAATTTTGGCACGTTCCCACAAGCAGTAAATTGATATCTTGCAATGATTTAATGTTGCTATTTTTTATCAATTATTACTTGTCAAACATATCGGCCGAATTCTCGTTTTTTTCTTTTCTTTTTTTTTAAATGTTATTTGAGGCATGACCATGGTTAAACTTAAAAGACCGTAACTGCCCGCGTGAGCACAACTCGGTGTCTTCAAATTCCTATACCAAGTTGTGTCTGGATTTTGATTTGTAATGCAGTGATTCCCAGAAGGAAAGTTATTTTCATCCTGTCTTTTAATATTATGATATTTTCTTGGTCCCGCCTTCGTGAAAATGGCTTAAATTTTAATTCAAATGAAACGCTTTTGACTGATATAAGCGTGCAATGCAGATGTTATCAGCCGTTATTATTTGTATATCTTGGGAAAAGAAGATATAAATTTGTTGATGGTCAGTGCCAACAACAGCTATTCGTAATTTCAAGTTTTCCACATCTTCGTGGATGAGACGAAAGTGGTAAGAACAAAAACGTGCCACACAAAGCACAGTCCAGTGTGACACTGATGTGAGTTATTACTGAAGTGACCCACGGCAACATTTAATTGCTTAAATACTGATAATCGTGACGCCAACGAGAAGTCTATCCTCCAATTGAACATAAGTAAGAACTCATCAAAATGAGTGTGATTCATCTTGTTATACAAAGCTATGGTGGAGTATAGCAAGTGTTTATCAGGCGTATAACTTAACATAAAAAGCATTCAGACATAGAAGTCTTTCTCGAATTTTTGCTTCCCATTGTACTTATGCCCTCTAGGAAAAGATCGCTGGTCCAATTGCGGTTCTATGCTTTTTCTTTGTTCTGAAAAACCAGAAGAGTCGTCATTACGGACATAAATGCGATGTTTGTTTTTCCAAACCGATGTTCATCAGAATTGTAATCCTTTTAAGGTCTTTCAACCCTCCAATGTAGGTGAGTTAAAAATTGATCACGGTAATTATAAAACCTTGTTTTGATCCATGATACCAAAATAGTGATGTGAAATCAAATTTTATTCGTTCCATCAATTAGCAACAACTTTAATTACATTTGTTGAGATTAAGAAGGCTGTTTAAGAAATTCCTTCCCGCAAGATTGGCCAACGATCATCTCGCTAGCGCAGAGAGGCGGCCTTTTTACAGTTTGTGACGATAAGGTTTTCGCGCCCTAAACCGGACTTCGCGGGAAACGTACAAAACGGGGGAAAATTAACTCGGTAGAGACCACTCGGCTTACAAGAACGGAAACTCGTCACGATTTCCTGGCACCCGGAGATCTACTTCGAACGAGCTTATACAGACGTCAAGGATGAGACAGCGTTTTGGTTCCAAAGCAGACTTTATTCGTAAAGCACTCTGACATACATCATGCCAGAGTGAAAACTAAACTAGTAATCCGCACGCCGTCGTCTGTGTAATCGGCACGCCGTCGTGTATGTAATCGAAAAAGCTTTACAATGTATTTATTTAAATTTGAACTGGTGTGAAGTTCCATTGTTCTCCTAATCTACCATATTTGAACAGAATAACAAAGAAGCAGAAAAGGTCTCTTTGAATTAAACAATTTCTTCTTAAATATTCCGTCTGTTTATACGACGAAAAGGCTCTCAAAATTAAAAGGACGGATACAATAAACTCTAGACCATTAAAAATAGGGAACTTAGGTGAAAACACACAGCTCTGATATAGAAAATATACCCATCTCAAATACAGTAGCGCAGCTTAGGAAATAAAAGTGGAAAAGTAATTAAGAGTTTCAGCTTATCTATGCAAAGTTGGTGTGGAAACTGTCGTATGAAAGAAAATTAAAGTTACGAGTATAAACTCAGCTGCTAACTACTATGAAAACCAATTTTTTCAGAAAGACCATTAACACTCATATTTACCTAAAATTTCACTAATAATGATGAACCAAAGTACTGACGTGCAGGTGCATAATGGTAGCGAAAACAAAGCAAAAATCTCTTAGTTTACTGCTCAAAAACTACGGTGGTTTTTTTATATTTATTTGTTTTTTTTTAGATTTATTAGAATGAAAGAACTTGAATGAGCTCGAATAAATTGGAAATGGTTAAATGTGAAAAGTTTACGTATAAATATGTTCCAAACAAACACGCGGAAAAATCAGTAAATTTTCCCGTAACAAGTTGTTAATTTCACTTGAGCTAAAAATGTCTTCTCAAGCGTTGTCTTGTTTCCTATCAGATCCATCGCATCACATATAAATTACAGATGCCCGTGAAGAGTCTGAAATGTAATCTTAAAATCAGAATTCTTTCTCGGATGAGTTATAAGTCGGGACTAAATTATGAATGATCTTTGCTACGATCGACGGTGGACTGTTGTTGGTTGTCTATTGTCAACAGAATCTTGGTAGGTCACCACCTATTATTTTCAATGAATTTCTTTTTTAAGTCTCCTAAAACAAAATGTTAGTCGTCTCAGCTAACGACCAAACGGTTAGAGATCGCAGCCCTGGGCATGGTTTGCGCGGTTTTGTCTGTTTTCGTGAGAGTTGTTTTGTTACCTGTGCTGATAAACCTGTGTCATTTCAACGCCGCACGGCCACATCTTATGCTATTTTAGACCAATTTTTTGTGTCTCTACCATGGCTAGAAGCCCCTCCAGTTTCGTCTTTCATAGCACAGTAAGCCCAAAATCCGCGACTCAGAGCAGCCCCTTTGACACAACTTCCGCTACCTTGCCAATGAACTAACATTACAGTTACAGGGGTATCCAGCGCGAACCTCCAACTTAACACGTACAAAGATCGCGAGGGGGCTTTTAGGTCAGTTTTATTATCATCTACGTAGGTATCGTCGCTTGATACAAGCGCTTTTCCTTCGCACGATGAACCGTACCTATACATGCGTCTTTCTCATTTCCGGATTGCTCAGCCATCATGTCACATGAGATAAGCATCATTTCATTTATCGAGCTCCGGTATCACTCAGTATTTCAAAACTTAAACCTCTCCCCATCTGTGCTCATTTTTGCTAGCATTTTAAACTGAATAATGTCATTGATGATAGTTGAAATATAGTTTAGTTTCTCAGCCGGATTTTCTTGTTATTGAGGTCTACTATTATTACTATTATTCTATCTTTGTGATGAACACCTGTCATATTCTGCTTGCAATCATTTACAACCCTGAATCAGGTGCAGTCTCCAGAATCACGTTTGAATGTAAACTGGTAATGACTTCCTAAATGAAACTTGTAAAATAACCATCGAGGTTATTGAGGTCTACTTCCTAGATTAGCTCGATACCACAATGATTCCTCAATCATACAAATGCTACATTCTACATTCTTCCGCTCTAACTACGGAGACTTGCAATATTTCGCCTTGGTTAAGCTGAGCAAGTACCTATGTTCCAAGCTTATTCCAACACTCATTCAGCCATACGAGTGTTAGCGATGAAGGCATAAACTGGTGCAATATCTTGTTTAAATTTGATGTTTTCTTGTTAGATAGATTATTATGTTAATTTGTAATTTGCATCCTGAGCGAAAGAGTGCTTCGTTCTCGCCAAGTTTTCTCTTTTGTGTCGGAGTAAAAAGCAGAGAAACTTTCCGTTCGTTTTTGTCTTCAAAAAAGCTGAGGATAAATAATTGGGTGGTCCTAGCCGTTCGGTGTCAAATTATTTCGCAGATGCTGATTTTAAAGATAATTTTTCAAAAAAGCATTTCTTATACTTATTGTATAGCGCCGCGCAAAAAAATTTTATTCTGGCTGCTTCTTTTGATATCAGCGCGACATGATCTTAACAAAAGCTGAAAATAGAGGCTGTATTCCTAAACTTAAATATTTAGGAAATGTAAAGCTACAAAGCGCCGCGTCAAAGCGCTTTAAACAACCGCTTTTTATCGAACGACAAAATCGACGAATCGATGTCGGATTTCCATTAATGAAAATAAATATGGCGCAAAGAAAATTTTATATGAATTTATAGTTTTGGTTCTGACTAAAAGGTAATTCATCGTCCGCTATTTCAGCATGACGGCGCGCATTCCAGAACCGACTCATTATGGACCTGGCAAAAATACGTGGGATCATTTGCATGCAATTAAACTATAATAGGAGGGCTATGAGGTAAAAATAAAATTGACCTGAAGGCGACGGTTCCATAACAGAATTTTGACATTAAAGTGATCTGAAAGGAGACGTTTGCTTTCCTATGATTATGGAGGCTATGAAAACGCGGGGAAGGGAAGCAAATTTATGAGGAATTTGTCTGCACTTTCTGTTCACTGTTACGATCAACCGTCATAGAATTCTAAATAACAAGACCTGCGTTACAAGACGCCATTGACTTAAAGTTAAATAATCATTTTTTATTAAACTTAACTGCGTGTTATTTGCACAGTGTATTATTTCTCTTTTCGAAAAAATAGATCCCACTGAAGGTCTGTCATTGACTCAAAGCTGCTCATGTTCAAGAACAACTTCACAAAGAAGTCGAATGAAATACATAGAACACAATTTCCCATATTTCCTTCATTTTCCTACATTATCACTCTTCATTCCACCGAAGGCAACTTTCTCTTTGGTTCGTCACCCTGTTCGTGAGCCGCGTGCCCAATTACGTATTAAAATTAGTTTAAAATACGGAGCACCTGCCTCAAGACTCGAGAAAGTGCAAAATCTCCTTTTTGAGTTAATCTTGAATTTCCGCACGTAAAGAGGGTTTCCTTCTTGTTTGTTTTTTTTTTTTAACTCGAGTTTATGAATCAAAATCACCGAGGAGATCCAAAACAAAAATTGGTTTAATTTATAGGAATGGACTGTAAATGACATGACATGTCCTGATGGTAAATGAATAATTATCTCCATGTTAAATAAGTTATGGGTAACATTCATAAAAAAAACGATGCCTCTATTTAACCTAACACACATCGACCATGTAAGGCTTGCTTCGAAGCCAAATAGCTCCTTAACCTCTTTATTGAGCTCTAATTAGTTTTTTTTGTGACTTTCAAAGCGGAAGACGCACGCTGGTGTTTTATTTGCTTTGACAATTAATGTGAGGCATGTTGGATTTGAGATCCATTTGAGAACTCCCGCATGCAGACATTTACGTCTGATATTCCTATCCGGCTGTCAAGAAGAGATGCAATCGAGACCTGCATTAATATTCATAGAAAATCATTTTGAAACGGTTAAAAAAAGAGAAGTGATCAGGACTGAGCTTAGTAATTCATCAGGGTTCATCAGTCTCGAGCCACTGAACTCTCAAACCGTTGGACTGGGGAAGCAACCATATCGATCTCCAAAGGTATACCGTGTTTCTTATTTTAGATCAACCTGAAAAAACGCTTGAATTAGTGCGGTTGAAATGTCATCGACTCAACCAAAGTGAAATTAGTTTTAAAATAAAACAATACAAAATTATTTGTTTCCTTTGAATTCACAGTCGATTCCTCTCACAACACCTCAGGTTGGTATCGAATAAGATTTAAGGAGACCATGAGGGTATGCTTTACTGATGACTTATTCAGTAATAACAGTTTTATCCTATTAAACTTTAGCAACAGAAAAAACAGGAACTAAAGATGAAAACAGAAATCGAGTGGATCATCGCAGTTCTTTACGCCATCACGATGCTCGTGGCGTTTACAGGAAATGGTTTTCTCATCTACATCGTGTGGAAGAAACCCGAAGTCAGATCACTAACAAGCTTCATGTTTGTCAACATGGCCATCGCCGATTTGCTGGTAACGTTGATTGTGATGCCCTGGTCGATTTCCATGATATATACCGACGGATTGTGGATGATCCCGGGAGTATTTGGAAAAGTCATGTGCAAAGGTGTTGTATACACTGCCTATGTCACTATAACAGCATCTGTCCTCTGCCTGACATTCATGGCGATCGACAGGTACTATGCCATCGTTCATCCCCTCCGCCGCCATCTTTGGTTTCGAAAGCCTAAACTAACCGTTCCATTTATTTGGATCGGGTCACTGGTCTCCATGTCTATTTTCCCTGTTGTTCAAAACGTGGAAGACCACAACTCCCAATGCATGCTATCTGTTTACAACTTGGGTAATCCAGATAGGGCTCTTCGAGGGATATACCTCCTCCTTTTCTTCGTCAACTATCTCATCCCCTTGGGCGTTATTTCTTTCCTGTATACCATCACTGCATGGAATTTATGGTTTCATGTTGCACCTGGAGTGAAATATTTGAAAGGAAACCGAGCGCAACGCGAAACCTCCAAGAGAAGAGTGGTTCGGATGCTCATTATTGTTACCTGTGCCTTTGCACTTTGTTGGCTCCCACCACAAGTGGTCCACATAATGGAAGTCATTCCCGCATCAAAGTTTGAGCTACAGCCGATTGTCAACTTTGTGTGTTTCTGGTTTGGACATGCCAACAGTGCCGTTAACCCATGGCTGTACATTTTTCTGAGTACCAAGATAAATACGGCATTTACCAGTATTGTTCGCAGAAAAAGGAGCCATTTGCCCTCAAGTCTCACCATCGAAACATTAGATGCCGTCCTACCACCTGAATATGAAGCAATCCAGAAAGAATCAAGAATATGATCTCTATTAAAACATGAAACTTTTATTACCAATTTGGTACCTTTAAGATAGAAACTTGTTTAAAACGGATTTGCGTATTACTAATTAGATAACATAATACAAACGCCTATAAATTCTCCAAGCTAACATCACAAGACCAGTATGGCAGACAGTTAGGAGTATTACTTTTGAGATCTTGGGAGTGAAAGGGTTGAAGCAAAAGAAATAATACTTATGGAATATAAATCGTCTCATTTCGTTTGAAGTGGAGCGAGCTAACCACTTGGCCGCCCAATCTCCCTTAAGGTGGCAATTTTTTTTTTAAATTTGTTCTTGAGTACAAGCTTGCGCAAAAAAACTGACCATGAAAAAGAAAAGAAAAGGAAAGAGAAAATGAGGCTAATATTAAGAGGCTTGCACATCTCAGAGGAAACACATTAGGAAGGCTTAACGCCCAAATTTTGCTGATCATCGGAAATAGAGTTTAAATTTCAGAGTTATCCAGCAAATCTTTTAATTTCAATATTATTGAGAAGATAGTCGTCGTCAAACGAGGTATTTGACAATCATTGCCGGCCAATTAGTTGATCAGCGCGCGCGAAAAGCGCAATTCACCTGTGCGCTTTATACTAATTTGGTTTATTTATTCATAATTTTCACATCGATACTAATAAATCGTTCCTCACAGTTTTCTTTAATTCTGTAACATACAATGATAGTTTCAGCTGAAATCCAAGTAAGAGCTCTGTGTAATGGAGCGTTAATTTTGTTCTTTAAGGTTCAAGTGTCATTGGGACAAAATGGGGATAATATGAAATCAAAGGGCTCTTGGAGCCAGCTCATACATATTATGGCTTAAGTTTGTATTGATTTCTTGGACTTGTTGAATATAGAGAAAATTGACTTTGGTTTATGTGAACTTTCAAGACTTTTGGAAAAATTTTTCTTTTATTTTTGGGCAGTTTTGTAATAAGAAAACTTGTCCATTCGTCGTGATGAAAATTGGAAAAAAGGTTGTGCGGGCCGGATGTGGGATGGGCAGAGGTCATTAGGTAGACAGTGTCCTTTTCGTTGGTGTGTGTGTTTGTAGGACAAAGGGTGGGCTGGGTGGACATAATCAGGCATCAAATGTTGCTCTGGCAGCAAAATATTAGTAATGCTCATCTATCACGATCATTTGCACTATTGTGAAATATTCCTAGCCCGTTTCTTGATATCTTTTTTTTTTAACAAAGCGGCCATTGCTTTTGGTTCTTACCAAAGCAGCCACAATCGTTCCGTATAGTCTGATTTTCACATAACAATATTTACCTAGTCACCAAACAGACAAGAGATAAAACCACCAGAAAAGTAAACAAATGGGCAGTCACGAAAGCATGCGCAACGCTGCGCTTTTCCCTATTAGAATTCGCCGGTTCATCATGTAAGCTAGTAACAATATAAGGCACATATGTGAAAATCAGAGTGTGTGTACCCTTGAACGTTGATAATATATCAAGTCGAAGGAACAGTCTTGGTCTTGGTCCGCATTTTTGTCAACAAAATGAACACATTTCGGTTAAAAAGATGAAACGAACGGACCACGTGCAAAGCTGTCAATTGTTTCTCGAATTTTGCGTGTGTTAAATATTCAATAGTGACATCTCATTTACACTTATATCTACATCTACTTTAATTAACTTGGTAAATTCTGTGCAGACATCACACCAACCAACTCGCGCGCAAAGTGAGAAGACTACATGATGGCTTGAAATTATATTAAGAACGATTGTGATCAAGACGCGGGCAAGGAATATTCCACAACTGTGCAAATAATTGTGAAAGATGATCGCGGAAAGCGATTGCGTGACGCTCGGTAAGTTGCAAGATGACATGTTATCACGTGCCAGACGAAAAAACAGTATAAATTCTCAGTCTGTAATTTGTGCCCAGTCTGCAGTCTGTAGTCTGCACTTTGCATCCGGTCTGCAGCCTGCATTCTACAGTCTGCATTTTGTACTGACCGGATTGGTGTTGCTGTTTTTGTTCGAGCGAGCCTCAAGTCCAGACCGAAATATTGAAGCTCCAAAAATAAATTTTAAACTATCTTGGCCGCTGTGATTGATGTGTGAGCTGTATGTCGAAGAGCTCCCGTGGACAAGCACAATGATAGAGCAATGATTACTTTATACTAACTGAAGACGAATACAAATGCACGGCTTACCAATATGACTACCCCTGATGCTCTTTTGCGTGGTCACAGCGTGTGTTGAAATGAACCCGCTACGGGTGTGAACATTTCGGCTTCTCGATTCAAGTTGCATTTTAGAAGTTCGGAAATGTGATTTGAGGTTATTATTTTTATTAACCCATAAAAACGTTTTATTTCTTTCCACGTGAGTTTCTGAGCTCATCGAAATTGATTTTGACTTTCATTAAGTGGGGAGGGGTAGCATGCGAGTCTACTTCCGTTTACAGTCCGCAATGCAACTTCCGTCTACGGAATACAACTTCCGTCAACATCTGCGTCACCACAATACCTCATTCTTTGCTTTCAGCATGAATGAGCGAAAAATGAGAAAAATCTAACCAAAATCATTCTAAAAGAATTTCTAGGAAGAGTACTAGAAACACGCTTATTTAGGGCCTAACTAATGAAATTGCAGCAAAGAAAACAATGAGAAAGCCGGATTTTTACCCACATGGCTTGAAATATTGTTTACGTCACAAAATCACGCAACGCTTCTGATAGTTATCACAGTAGGTAAATAATCGCGCAAGAGTATCACGCCAGTACCAGAAAAGGTGTCCCGCAAGGGGTGTTACGCATCACATTGTGTATATTTTTAAAAAAATTCCGGGTTTTACAATTTGGGTCGTGAGCTGAAGTCCGAGTGACCTAAGTGTGGGCCCCAAGTAAAACGATTTTGCTCAAGAATGTTTGACTTGTATGTTAGCACAGTAAAAACCGGTATTCACAAAAGGATAGACAGTGGTTTGTATCCCGTACAATGACATGCCACGCAGTTGTAGACTAATGAGAAGTCGAGGGATAGGGAATCCCCCACAGAAACATTTCTACATATTGTTGCTAAGGACGCTTTTACAGCCTAACACGCTTTCACGGACTAACAGTTGATCAAGACTGAAAATCAACGATAGTGGTAAGTACATCTCTTTATCACAAATTTTGTTAGCTTACATTTACTAGTGTAGACTTTACAAACACTCTGGTCCCAGCTGTTCTTCTTTTAGCATTTCTTTACCATGTACTAAAACGTTGCCTTTAAACACTCTCAATTGCAACAAGAAGGATGAAAACGTCAGGGTTACTTGAAATCGTGTATTAGCGTTAATCAATACTCGTTTATATACGAACAGAAATGATTTATATTATTTAGCATGGAAATTCTCTGAGCACGATACAAGAAACAACCTGAAGGACTCCAAAAATAAACATAATGTTCGACTACCATGCACAAATTATTTGAAAAATAGTTCAAATTAACGTGGCACCACATTGTGGAATAGCCTTTCTTGCGAGGCTAGGTGCGCGGAATCCCCCGTGTTGTTCAACCGTGCAATCAGCAAAGCTCTCTGAGCTATGGCCGCGATTCAGGGAAAGCAGCTTTTTAATATAGTGTTGTTCACAGTTACATTTATAGTTATGTAGTTATAGTTTGATCTTCCAAAAAAAAGCTGATGAATTGCCCGTGAATAGATTAAGTTTATTGATTAACGGGTTTCCGGATTTGATATCCGATGCAGTTTTCGGTTTTTCCTATTTGACCTATTTGGGTTCCGGTTTCTTTTCGATTCAGCGCCTCCACTGATCTCGAATAGCCGCTAAACGTAAATGTTATCGAGAGGAATGCGTGAAAAACCAATTGAAATATCGCAGGGCCCCCTTCCCCAGGGTGGGGGGAAGGGAGGGTACGGCTACACGTAGGGTACGGCTACACGTAGGGTACGGCTAAGCACGGAACATTGCAAGAGTTTCTTTATCAACGCCACCTCGAAGTTGGTGACCAATTTACAGGCCACACGTAACTAATTGATTCTACATTCCAGTAGAATCTCCAAAGTTTCAGGTCTTAGTTTTCAAATGGAAATGTTAGATTAGGGATTTTCGATGAAACTTTCCAGGGCTATAGCTCTTTGCGCTTGCAAAATTGCAACATATCGAGGGCTTCCGTGCGAATTTCCTTAATTTAACTAAGCTCCATTACCAGCTGCTGAGTCCACAGAGACCACGCTCGAAGTCCTCGAGAGAGCAGTTAATAAGCCCCAATGCCCTCCTCCTAACAATATTTACCTTTTTAAGTAGAATCCTTGTTTCTTACGCACTGAAAAACCGTTTATAAGTGTTTGTGTCAAATTATCTAATTAGTAATACACAAATCCGTTTTAAGCAAGTTTCTATCCTACAGTTACCAAATTGGTAATAAAAGTTTCATGTTTTAATAGAGATCATATTCTTGATTCTTTCTGGATTGCTTCATATTCAGGTGGTAGGACGGCATCTAATGTTTGGATGGTGGGACTTGAAGGCAACTGGCTGCTTTTTCTACTGACGATCCTAGTAAATGCCATATTTATCTTCGTGCTCAGAAAAATGTACAGCCATGGGTTAACGGCACTGTTGGCATGTCCAAACCAGAAACACACAAAGTTGACAATCGGCTGTAGCTCAAACGTTGATGCGTGAATGACTTCCATTATGTGGACCACTTGTGGTGGGAGCCAACAAAGGGCAAAGGCACAGGTAACAATAATGAGCATCCGAACCACTCTTCTCTTGGAGGTTTCGCGTTGCGCTTGGTTTCCTCTCAAATATTTCACTCCAGGTGCAACATGAAACCATAAATTCCATGCAGTAATGGTATACAGGAAAGAAATAACGCCCAAGGGGATGAGATAATTGATGACGAAGAGGAGGAGGTATATTCCTCGAAGAGCCCTATCTGAATCACCCAAGTTGTAAACAGATAGCATGCAATAGGAAGAATCATTGTGATCCTCCACGTTTTGAACAACAGGGAAAATAGACATGGAGACCAGTGACCCGATCCAAATAAATGGAACGGTTAGTTTAGGCTTTCGAAACCAAAGATGGCGGCGGAGGGGATGAACGATGGCATAGTACCTGTCGATCGCCATGAATGTCAGGCAGAGGACAGATGCTGTTATAGTGACATAGGCAGTGTATACAACACCTTTGCACATGACTTTTCCAAATACTCCCGGGATCATCCACAATCCGTCGGTATATATCATGGAAATCGACCAGGGCATCACAATCAACGTTACCAGCAAATCGGCGATGGCCATGTTGACGAACATGAAGCTTGTTAGTGATCTGACTTCGGGTTTCTTCCACACGATGTAGATGAGAAAGCCATTTCCTGTAAACGCCACGAGCATCGTGATGGCGTAAAGAACTGCGATGATCCACTCGATTTCTGTTTTCATCTTTAGTTCCTGTTTTTTTTGTTGCTAAAGTTGAATAGGATAAGACTTTTATGACTGAATAAATAATCAATAAAGGGAATACCCATGGCCCCCTAAAATCCTATTCGATACCAACCTGGGGTGTGATGAGAGGAATCGATTGTGAATTCAAAGGAAACAATAGTCCTTAATTTTTTTGCATTTTTAAACCAAGTTCACATCTGTTAAATCGATGATATTTCAGGACGTCACTGAAGCCGTGAACAGGAACGGAAATACTGGAAACAGGAAAAGGAATGCAGCAGGACATTTTTATTTTCTCCATAAATAACCTTGTGATACGTGAAAAATCTAAGCATTGAAGTGATGGTTAAGCATTTTTGCATAGAAGCATTAAGTATTCTCAACCTTAAAATAAATATTTACTGGTCTTTGTTGTTGGTTTGCTTTTATGACGAAAGCGTTGCTTGTTTGTCATGTTCATTCAGAAAACTAGTGCACTTCTTCAACGTCGGACTGTCCCGATAAAAAAAGATAACTTTCAGAAATACCTTTTTTCAATTTTCTGCCCAGTTCCTTCATTTGTTCGTATTATACTAATAACACAAGTTATCAGAGAGAAACGATCGCGATAGCATATTCGTTTTCACTAATCTTTCATTCGCAATTTAATGTCCGGTAGAATGAAAATAATGAATGAAGATAACGTATGATATCTTATTGGAGACACCGTTGGCGCATGTATATAACAATTTTTGATGGACTGAAACATCATTAGTTTTAGTTTGGAGGTAGAAAATCAATTTGCCTATATATCTGCCTTACAACGTCAACTTGTTTCCCTCCAAGTTATTGTAAGTTAGAAAGCGTTGAAATTCGACGTACCTGCGATAGAATGCACTGAAGACCGCTGCCAGCTTATAAACTTGTAACCTCTTAGTACTACAGAAAGATAAAATAATAAAAATTACATTTCAAATGCACTGATCTTAGCGTTTTTTCAGGTTGACCTAAAATAAGAAACACGGTATACCTTTAGGCAATATCGACAAGGTTGCTACCCCAATCCAACGGTTTGAAAATTCAGTGGCTCGTGACTGACGAACCTTGATGAACTACTGAGCTTAATCCTGATCACTTCTTTTTTTAACCATTTCAAAATGATTTGCTATGAATATTAATGCAGGTCTCGTACGCATCTTTCCTTAACAGCCAGGCAGGCTGATATCAATACTCAAGGCACGTAGAACACGGGCTTGTGTCTTCCGCCTTCAAAGTCACAAAAAAACTAATTGGGGCTCAAGTAGGCAAGAGGTCAAACTTATGAAAACCATTTAGAGGCTATTTGGCTTCGAAGCAAGCCTTCCCAGTGATTTTAATTCATAAACTTGAGAAACAAAAAATAAGCAATCAAAGGAAACCTTCCTTGCGTGGGGAAATTCAAGATCAAATTAAAGATCAAAAAGGAGACTTTTTAAGACGAAATTATGTTCTACGTATGTCATTTTACTTCTTTGTGAATTGGTCGGTTGGTTCTTGATCATGAACAGTTGTGAGTCAATGACAGACCTTCAGTGGGATCTATTAGTTCGACAAAAAATAATGCACTATGCAAATAACACGCAGTTTAGTTTAATAATAAACATAAGAGTTTAACTTTAAGATAATGGCGTCTTGTAATGCATGGATTGTTATTTAAATTTCTATGATGGTTGATCGTAACAATGCATAGAAAGTGCGGACAAATTCCTCATAAATTTGCTTCCTTTCCCCGCGTTTTCATAGCCTCCATAATCATAGGAAAGCACGCGTCTCATTTCGGATCACTTTAATGTCAAAATTCCCTGATGGAAGCGTCGCTCAGGTCAATTTTATTTTTACCTTATAGCCCTCCTTTTGAATTTGAATTGCATGCAAATGATCCCATGCAGTTTTGACAGGTTCATGACAGTGAAATAATGAGATGGTTCTGCAATGCGCGCTGTCATGCTGACATAGCAGACGATGAATTAAGTTTAATTTCAGAGGAATATATAACTTTCCCTCGAGGCATCAAATTTACATAAAAACTTTCCTCCCGCTATATTTATTTTTGCCGATGGAAATCTGACATCGATTTGTCGATTTAGTCTTTCGATAAAACGCGGTAGTTTAACGCCCCTCAAGAGAGTGCCTGAGTAAATACTTGTTTAATAGAGCACAAACGAAAAGCTCTCTTTCATGAATTCATGAAGCTTTCCTTCATAACTGTAATTGACATAGTTTTCTATCGTTGTTTCTTTAATTTGACTTCAAGAGTTTGTAGTCAACTTTGGCCTGTATGTTTAAAGGTGCAGTACATTTCCTCAAGAGTCTTTATCAGCTCAAGTGCTGATGAAAGAATTCAACTAATGTTTGACTGTGGACGGTAGATTGACAGAAGCTAGGAATGACGCTTTGACGCGGCGCTTTGCGGCTTTACGTTTCCTAAACGTTTAAGTTTAGGAATACAGCCTTCCGTTTTCAGTTTTTGTTAAGGTCGTATCGCAGTGATATCAAAAGAAGCAGTCAGAATAAATTTTTTTTGCCCAGCGCAATACAATACGTATAAGGAATGCTTTTTTGAAAAATTATTTTCAAAACCAGCATCTGCAAAATAATTGACGCTGAACAACTGGGACCACCCAAATATTTTTCTTCAGCTTCTTTGAAGACTAAAACGTACTTAAAGTTTAATTGCTGCCCTGAGTCTGCCTTGTTTGTTCAGTTGAAAATGATAGCAAATGAAAATGATAGCAAAAATGAGAGCTTAAGTTTTAAAAATACTGTAGTCAGTGGAGCTCGATAAACGAATTGACGCTTATCTCATGTAACATGATGGCTGAGCAAACCGTACATAAACAATACGCATGTACATCGACAATCATGTCGGAGTGGAGTCTTAACCGCCTCTAAGGGGTCTTAATATTTACCCCGCTCCTTTTTATCTTACCATATGTAAAAACCAATTTAGTGCGATAAAAGAGAAATTTCAAAAGAGCTAAAAGTCTTAGTTGACGCGTGCACATCTTGTATGTCTAATGCAAATTTGCTGTGGTTAACCTCGAAATGCTCCTGAACTGATGAACTGAGAGCAAAGAATTTATGTCTGGAAGTTGCAGGTACGGTTGAAGCGTGCGAAGGAAAAGCGCTAGTATCAAGCGACAATGCCAACGTAGATGATAACAAAACTGACTCAGAAATCCCTCGCGGTCTGTGTACATGTTCAGTTGGAGATTCGAGCAAGATACCCTTGTAACTGTGTGGTTAGTTTATTGGCAACCCGGCGGAATTTGTTGCGGAAGGGCTGCTCTGAGTTGCGGATTTTGGATCACCGTGCTTTGGAAAACGAAACTGGAGGGGCTTCTAGCCATAGTAAAGGTGTCTGTTTCGTAAGTAACTCAATAAGACACACAAAATTGGTTTAAAATAGCATAAGCTGCGGCCGTGCAGTGTTGAAATGACACGGGAATAACAACGCAGGTAACTAAACGACTCTCACGAAAACAGACAAAACCGCGCAAACCATGCACAGGGCTGCGATCTCTAGCAGTTTGATCGTTAGCTGAAACGACAGACATTTCGCTTTCAGAGACTTCAAAAAGAAATCCATTGATCTATCTATTCTTAAAATAATAGATGGTGACCTACCTAAATTCTGTTGACGATAGACAACCAACAACAGTCCACCGTCGATCGTAGCAATGATCATACGTAAGACTCTTCACGGGCATCTGTAATTATATGTGATGGATCTGATAGGAAACAAGACAACACTTGGAGAGCCATTTAGCTTAAGTGAAATTGGATTTAAAATTTAAATTTGACTTAAAAGGATTACAACTCGGATGCACATTGCATTGATAACATCTTTCTTTCAAAATTTGACAGTTTCAATTTCAAATTACGTCAATCCAGGTAATTTTACTGTTTAATCTTACTTTCTATTTTGTTAAAATTGCGTGGTAGCATACCGTACCTTCGTTCTGTTATACAAATTACTGAAAATATGTAAACTTTCTTCTATGCAGTTATCTTTCCGTGCAGGATTCCTTCACCATCACTACGAATAATTTTTAAAAGACCTATCAGTTTTCAAAATAACTGAAAATTGTTAAATTTATTATCATTTTTTATTGTTTTTTTAGAGGGCACGGCAACGAATCCTGCAATCTGATTGGTTCTTTACCCGGTCAGTATTTTCCTATCTCTGCCCACGGGCCACGGTAACGCTTTCTTGAGTCGCCGAGTGCATCCCAACTTTCGTTGTCATTTTTTTCATAAATATACCTCGTTTTCCGGCTGGGCAGTATTTTTAAGCAAACACGTCGGTCACTACCTCAAGCCGATAAATAACTTATGAATCCTCTCCTCTTTTCTCTCTATCAAATCAATTTGGTTGACAGAAAAATATTGGTTTCAGAATGAATTTGTATAAACAATAGTGTCATTACGAAGTTGACAAGCGGCCTAAAAACCGTCTGCAATTAATTTTAATCGTTCACAAAAAGTACCCAGAAAGTTGACACGTGAAGTATTTGGTTACAGTTAAACTGAACGATGGAACTTTCGTTCATTTAATATCTGAATTTTCTCGAGCAATTTGTTCGTAGTGAAAGAGCGAGCGAAGTTTTAATTTAAGTTCTACAACAAATATACGCTCCCAGTAAGTCTTTCCAATTCCCTTCAATTTAGACATTTGTACCGTAAATTGCACAACAGAAATTGAAGGAATTTTTTTGAGAAAAGGCCGCATTAAATTCCCTTGTGTCTCGTTGGAGTGTGCCGTTCGAATTTAGTTTTTGTGAAGGAAAGACCAGAGTCACACACGCCATTGAAGCAAACAAACCAGCAAACTCTCACAACTTCAAAGTAAAAAAATTGAATTTACTCACAATTACTTTCCTCGCCGTTTACTTAATGAACAGAGGTAAATCTTCGTACATGAATGAATGGTCGATGAGAGTGAATAATACTTTCCGTTAGATCATTGACATCATTGAAGAAAACATTGTCGTGACAGCCCTTGCCAAACTAGTTCTGATGTTTTTCAAATGTTCCTACGCTTTTTTTTTCTTGCGCGCTCTCTAATTGACAGGTGTCAGATTGTGACAGATACTTGTAAAAATAATGTTTCAAAGTTTGTTTGGAAGCCTTTTAAATCACCTTTATCGTCACGGAAATGAAAATGTTTCGCTGAGGCATCTCTCTTTAATTTGCATCACCTCTATTTTAAATACCATTTCCTCACTCAAAAATTGTTCAGTTTATGGAAGATCTTGCCGTATTTACAGCCCTAAATCATTCGGGTTCTTTCGGAAAGAATTTCGTCAAGTTTAAAAACAATAAATATGTTATTTACCGGCTAAGGGTCGGTCCATATGGTGAAAAACTGTGACCTCGGTCTTGAAAATACTCCTCGATCACAGTTTTTCACCATACGGACCTCCCAGCCGGCAAATAACATATATTTATTTCGCATGTATTGCGTGGTAACACGGTCTTCGCTAAGACCTTTTTGTGATCAGAATTTTGGAAAATATGTTTACATGGCCAATTTTTCAGAAACATAACGGAAACGAACAACAGCGGAAACATCCTGACTTAAATATGACGGAAAAGTGACTTGACATTTCCTTTCCGGAAACATGACAGAAACTTGATAGAATCGCCAAGACTTGGTATAACAGTTTGGCGCAAAATGTAAATGTAGTGGAAACGTGAAGCTCTATGTTTCCGTCACAATTAAGAAATGCGGAAACGTGGGATTTCGTCCTGTGCTTGTTGCTATTTAATATTTACAGTCTTGGATCTCAGATCCCCAAATCCTTGCCAAATAAATCCCAAATCCAGATTGCCATTTTTCGAAAAAAGAAAGCCGGTATTTTCTCTAACCCGAGGGCATATTTCAAATATTTAACCTAAGATAACATTCGATGCTTTTTTCATAATTTCCATTAGGGAAGTCATTCCCAGTTTAGATTCAAACGTGATTCTGGAGACTGCAGCTGATTCAGGGTAGCAAATAAACGCAAGCAGAACATGAGAGGTGTTGATCACAAAAATATAAGAAGTATAAAAGGTCCCTTCCTTATCAAAAATTAAAGAAAAAAATCCACCTAAAATTTGTAATTTACATAGATAACAACCTCATGGTGTAAACAAGAAATAACAAAACCCAAACTAAATAAATATTTTGATAATTTGAACGCATATTGACAATGATTAATAATAAATGAAATGAAACTTCCGCTGTCTTAAATGGACACCATGACAGTCCTAGATGATGATGACCAAATTTTTATTTTTAGGCTATGATGCAGTACATTATAGCGTATCAAATCTAGATCTAAACATAACAGCAACTAGTAGAACACTGGTCTTCTGAGGTTGTTATTACCTTAAAATCCAGACTTACGGGTTGGAGATTCCCTCGCCACTTTACCATGAGAGTTCGCAGTTTGGAACTGAGGAAGGGAAATGAGCGTTTCTTTTATGACGCACATTCAATATGTTTGCATTTGCATTCAATGAATGCTAAGATTATAAACTTGGAGAAGTATTTGTATATGTAAAAAAAGCTGGAATTCGATTGGTTAACAAGCTTTATCTGTTGCCTGTCTAACTACAAACACCAGGTGAAATCGGCTAGTTAAGCCAATCAAAATCGAAGGATAAATTACGATAAGCTGGCTGCCCAGGCTCAAGTTGAAAACAAAAAAAGTAGATGAAATCCCTAGTCAGGCTGATGTATTAACTTCTCAACCATTCCTAATGTAGATTATCATTGACTAAGTCTCTCGCATGTTATCATTGCCTGCTGGTTTTCATGATCATGTCATTCATTTCAGTTATTCAGAGACTACAATATGTTATGAACGCAGCGGCAAAGGTGATCACTTACTAGCAAAAACTTGATTATGTCACACCACTACTTACTGAGCTACACTGGCTCCCCGTCCGTCAGCGTATTATTTTTAAGATTTTACTGTACACCTTCAAGGCTCTTCATGGTGTGGCGTATTATTTTTTTAAGATTTTACTGTACACCTTCAAGGCTCTCCATGGTGTGGCTCCAACGTACTTGAATGAGTTCATCAGCCCTTATGTTCCTAGGCGAGCTCTCAGGTCTGCTGACCAACTTCTACTGGAGCAACCAACACACAAGCTCAAATTGACTGGCCTGAGGGCTTTTTCAGTGTGCGCGCCTTACCTCTGGAACTCGGTTCCATTTGAGATTAGAAGCAGTGCATCGGTCTCTATTTTTAAAGCTAAGCTAAGCTTAAATTTTTACATAATTATAGGTTATGATAATTTGACACTGTAAAGCGCATTTGGGCGTTAGGAAAATGCGCTATAGAAATAAATTATTATTATTAGTATTATTATTATTATATTATTAACATTTACTTCATCGCAATTTCTAGTCAGTTACGCGTTACCCACTAGATATCGATCGATTTGAAGTTACTTGCTTGAGAAAGAGCTGAGTTACTGCAATCATTCCTTTTTCACTTGACGTCAAAAACCTTGTCGTTTAAACAAGCAAAAAAAAAAAGAAAAAGCCTAAAGGCGAATAATTAGCAGATAACATTACCTCCATTTCGCACATCAGGTAGATAACCTGTTTCAAATGTCTTGGGAACACTCTTCCCATCTTAACATCTATCTTCCTAATAATATACATGAAAAAAATTGGCTAAGATATATGCAGTTTTCAGGTAACTCAGTGCAGAAGAGGGTTAATTCAGTGCAAAGAAGTATAACAAACCAGGCATTCTGATTGGTCAATAAACAAAGAAACTCACAGATAGCCAATCGCGTGCGAGCCTTAGTTGTCGCAACATTTGGATGCGCTGAAAATTTGCGAGCAAAACAATGGCCGGCATTTCAATTAGGTTTTCTTTCGCCATAACAATACAGCACCTGAGAAACAGCTCTAACAATGAAGACACTGTAAAAAGCATTACTCTTTGGTTGTCGGTTTGGAAAAAGTGGTGTTCAGAGAAGGGAATTGTAAGGAAATCGAAAATTACGAGCCGACCCAGCTTAACACTTAACTCGAGCGATTCTACACCGAAACTAAAAACAAACATGGTTAAACCTCGCAAACGACGATCCCATTTCATTGAAAGTGATTCGGACAAACTGAACAATTCCTTGAACTGTTTTGCGCCTTTCAGATGTGAAAACATCATTGTGTATCATTGTTTTGATCGTACGCGGTTGTTTTGACCAAACACTTCACTTTGCACTTGAAGCGCACGCTTTGCTTCTGCATAATTATGATAAGCTATCTTGTATTTTTTCATGTAAATTATTAATACGTAATCACATGATTTTTCTCGTGCAATGTGGAGTAAATAAGCACTTGTTAATTTTTTCGAAGACAACAAATTTTGTTAGTCTTTGAAAAAATTTATTCATGCTTATTTATTCCAAATTGCGCTCGAAATCATGTGATTACTTATACAAAATATGTATCAATTTAGTATCTATCTGTCTGGACTTATTAGTGTTAAGAAAGTTCAGATGAAAGCCAATATCTAAGGCACTACGCACCCACTCCTCCCCCAGCTCAAAAAAAGACAATTGATGACAAGTAAGAGTTGATATTGGGTCAGGGGAGGGGTAGGTGCACAGTTGTTCAGTTGGTGACGACATTTATTCCTCTTTCAGACATCAAATTGGTCATTAATGTTAGAAATTATGGTAAAGATTACAGTCTTGAGTCTTCCTCGATAGCTTCCTGTTCAGTTTGTAAGAAAGCATTCGATGTTATGATGCTGTGACTCGGAGGCGACTGGCGGTTTCTTTTACTCACTATTCTTATAAATGCCGTATTGACCTTGGCGCTCAGGAAAATGTAAAGCCATGGGTTGATGGCGCTGTTGGCGTGACCAAACCAAAAACAAACAAACGTGACATTTGGCTGAAGATTAACCTCAATATTCCATGCTTGCATGACATACATCAGATGGATCACCAGTGGTGGGAGCCAACAAAGGGCAAAAGTGGAGGTAACTATGATGAGCATCCAAACCACTCTCCTCTTTAAAGTTTCCTGTTGTTCTCGATTTTCAGTCGAATGTTCATTTCGAGGTGCAGCATGAAACCATAACTTCCTTGCAGTGATAATATACAGAAATGAAATAACGCTCAAAGGGATCAGATAGTTGAGAATCACAAGGTAGAGGAATAGCCCTCGGATAGCCATATATGGATCACCCAAAATATAAACGGATAACGAGCACACGGAAAGTTTACCTATTTCCTCCACGGTTTGAATCGCTGGAAAAATGGACATCGAAGCCAGCGAAAAGATCCAAATAAACGGTACAGTCAGTTTAGGCTTTCGGAACCAAAGATTGCGGCGGAGGGGATGAACTATGGTACAGTACCTGTCCATTGCTATGACTGTCAGGCAGAGGATGGACGCTGTTAATGTAGCATAGGCAATGTATACTACACCTTTGCACATGACTTCTCCAAATACACCCGGTATCATCCACAATCCGTCTGTATGGATGTGGGCAATCGACCAGGGCATCACAATCAATGCCACCAGCAAATCGGCGATGGCCATGTTGACGAACATGAAGCTTGTTAGTGATCTTACTTCAGGTTTTTTCCACACGATGTAGATGAGGAAACCATTCCCTGCAAATGCTACGAGCATTGTGATGGTGTACAAGACTGTGAGGATGATCCCTTCGTTCTCTTTTAATGTCATGTTCAATTTCTCTTTCGTCTGTTTGTAAGCTTTACTGGAACGAGAAAATATTCGCGAATTATGATTAAGTGGAAACACAGTTTCCGCTGAAACTTTAACAAAGAATGTCGAACGGTTTATGTTTAATAAAAATTAACTTGATCTTGGTTGGATGGACTCTGATAAGCATTGCGTAAATGGGGTTGACGTCATGCAATATAACTTTACTAAGACTGATTCATCTCAGCGGTGGTCGTACATTACAGATACGTTCACTTACAACACGAGTACAGCTTTTGTTAACTATCTGATAAAAGATACGCGCTTCCGTTGATCTGCTTATTACTCTTTAGTTTAGCTGAATGTTTATAGGATTTTAAAGGTTTTTGCATGGATACAGAAGACAATTTCCTTTCATGTACATGAAAAAATTGTGGAAGACAAATTCTCTACATGTGCTCATCTTTCAATCATTAGAACATACGAGTAACAATTTTAAGGTGAAGCATCTCTTCAGGAACTGACTCATCACGCTAATGCCTCAGAATGTTAAAGTTTCTTTCATTTGAATAGTTTTTGGAAGTCAATATGAATCGCGTGTCTTCACCAGACGGATTAATTGCAATTGACCCCGATTTAAACACAAGTCAAGTGCATAATACTTAGCCAAAGGCTTCTTTTTATCTTATCATTGAATAGCACGCATAATTATAATTTCATCGGACTACTGACCTCTTATGATCATTAGAAAAGAATACAAGAAAATCGTATGTATGTAACTGTTTCTGCTTTGCTTAACTTTGAGAACGGACTACGCTGTATAAAAAGCGGGGAAACTTAAAACCAGCTAAACGAACGTGTTTCCGCCTAGAAAACTTACGCGTAGCGTTGGAACTCAACACAGACACTTTTTTTTGTTTTTTTTCAGCTCATTCTGGTTGGATTTTTGGCACTTAAGAATGCAACCAAGTCCCTTACTAACTCTAAGATTTAGTTAATCTGTTGCTAACATAAACCATTTACAGAACTTTAAGGAAATTTACTTTAGAAATTACTGTCACGATCAACTTCTCAAATTAATGGCCAGCCTGCTAATCTTAAGCTTGACGAGTCTGCGTCAGGGAACGGCTGGCGAGAGGAGCGGTTTCTTTCTTCGTTTCCAGCAGTCATTATGCATTGTCGAATGCGAATTGCAATCACACATATTTCGACATGCTCTATGTTCGGTAATAAGATCCTTCTGACGGGGCCCAGTTCACTCATCAGACTGAATTGGTTAGAACAGATACTCTGAATCGGGAAAGATGAAATTGAAAGCGAGGAAGTTTCGTCTGTGCCCACACCTCAATCATATGACAGGATGAAAATAACTTTCGTTCTGTGAATCACTGCATTACAAACCAAAATCCAGACACGACTTGATATAGAAATTTTAAGACACCACGCGGGAAGTTTCGGTCTTTTAGGTTTAGCTATGGTCATGCCTCAAATAACATTTGTAAAAAAAAAGGGAAAAAAAACAATTCGGTCGATATGTTTGACCAGTAATAATTGATTAGAATAGCAACATTAAATCATTGTAAGATATCAGTTTACTGCTCGTGGGAACATGCCGAAATGGGTAAAGCAATAATTTAGAAATGTCTTCGACCGACCCTGTACTTGTTTCTTGAACATCACATTTACTTCCATTGTCATTGAGCTTCTCTGTTGGGGTAACCTTTTAAGCCTCTACGCGACTTTGTAAACAGCTACAAATATAGATAAGCCGAAGGCTGAAAACAACATTGGCATCAATTTGCAACCGGCTCATCATCAACGCTGTCTACTATCAGGTGAATTAAAGGAAGTTGTAATATGACAAGTGAATTGAACTTTAGACTTTATACTAGCTTTGACCAAACACAAACAATCACGTCCACTCTGACTCAATTTGTAATTGCACTCCATAATAAATTTCGTTTGTAAGCAAAGCTTGTTTTTTTTTACTATAGCGAGTGACCTGAGTGGAGTCTTCCTTCGATCAGTTGACAAAACGAACTGGTTTGGCTGGTGTGCTCGTTGGTTTGAGAAGTAGAAATGTTAATTCGATGACAAACACACCAGTTCAAAACTGTCACTCTACGCTATTATCAAACCAAATCATCTACAGTAGCGCCACTTAAGTAAAACAATGGGAGCAGCATCACAATACAGGGCCAATCTTGAAGCAAAATCTACGGTCGACTCTCGCGCTACGGACACCTCGCCATTGCGACGAGAGCCTCGATGAAACGCATCAAGAAATGTCTGAAATAAACTCCCGTTTCCATTACGGACTCAGGCTGAAATGCGGACACTTTCATGCCACCCAGTGAGACATTTCACTCGTCTTTTCTCTCGCTATTGCGGACAATTAAGTACTTCGTCCAAAATCCTGACTCACATAATGCAAAGCGACATTACGATGAAGGAAAATACAGAAACCATTCTTCAGTTGGCTGCGAACACGAGAATTTCCTGCTTGCGGCCAAATCTTTTTCCGGTTCGTGAGGCCATGTTAGAAACTTTATGTTTGCGTAGTTACATATTATTTCAAATGTTTAGAGACCAAA